CCCCCCCCCCCCCCCCAATCATTCTTTTCAGGCAGTTTGCTAGTATATATATCATTTGCCAATTTGTCAAATAGGATTTCCTGTTTGAGATCTAGAAATTTTAGTTGAAGATAATTGTATTTGCTTCCGATTCTAAAATGCTGGGTGTCCTATATGCTGCTAAACAGTTTTAAAGGCATGGAGGGGAGATTGTATTTGGGTCTTTTTCACTACTCAGGTCAGGGTTGTGATACCAAAATAAGTAATGGCTCCCTCAAAAAATAATGTGTCACCTGTATTGCTGACTTTCTGTGCAAACCCTTCCTCCACCACAGTAACCATCACCATAGTGCAAATTCAGTCCTATATTCTTCCCATACTTGTGTTCCTCACCAGGATTCCCTCTGCTCAGCACCTCCTGGAGTCTTGGGTGAGGCACTTCAGCAGCAGTCATGGGGGGTGATTTTCCTTTCAGCCTCTAGCTGTGGGGTGTCTGGTCACATAGGTAGTAAGTCCTGGCTTGCATAGGGCTGCAGTGGATTCCTTGGATTTCTTCAGTATATGAAGACTCTTCAGTGAGGGATTGGGTCTCTTTGGTCTGGTGGAGGTCTAGGGGTTTTTCTTGGGTAGTGTTAAGGGAAGAGGAAGGAGGGTTCTGCATTCTCTCCCAGTATTGGCCCTTCAAACTCTGCCAGGGAGGTTCTGGTGGAGGGAGGAGCAGTAACTGCAAGACCCTTACTCAGTGCAACAGCACTGTCTCCAATTCCTCTTGCATCTCTACTGCAGAAGCCATTGGGGTGCTGAAGCAATGCAATCCCAGCGTGTTCCAGCTAGCACTGGCAACATTTGCAAGAGAGAAGGTGATCAGTGCCTGGCTGTGCATGGTCTCAGGCTTAGAGGGGCCTGTCAGCTTGAATGAGTAGGGTCCCCTGGCGTTTTTGTAGCTGCAAAACAGGATTTTGCTGTCTTTTATTTTGTTTTTTCCCTCCACACTTCCTCTGCTCCCTACAGAAATTCCTGTCCACCTTGCATGTGCCATTATGCACAGGGCTAGGATATGAAGGAGGGTCAGTGAGGTACTTCTTGGGAATTCACCCTGCATTAGCTATCTTATTTCATATGATAGAGGAGGGAAGCACGTAATTAAAATATAAATAGATTGATGGATCTTCTCTGTAGACTTCTTCTGTTGAAGCGATGCCCAGTGGCTTATTCCTACAAATCATGATAATCACCCAGAATCGATTTATGTTTTCATAAGAGAAAGTGCTAAAAGTGTTTTGTTTTGTTTGGTGTTGCTTTTGTAAAAAAAAGAAAAAGAAGAAGAAAAATTGGATTCTTTCCACACATCCAAACTCCTGTTTTCTTATCCAAGAGGCTTGCATAAATTGTTTCCTTTTGGCTTAGGTAGAACTTGTTCCCTAGTGTTTTAATTACCTCTTTCAAGTCTCTTGCAAACAAAAAATTAAACAGTATAAAGTTTGCATTTGGACTTTGTGATAAGATGAAATGGGCTTCATATGACATCAGTTTGATTGAGTAGGGCAGTGGTGCCTAATACACTGTTGATGGGAACACGAGAAGCATAAAACAGAGGAAGATTTCATGTTTAGTCTCTCAAAAAAAATAAGTCTCCTAGATGCGGGCCATTGAACCACCATTTTTCAAGCCTCTGTGCTTGCTGCTGAGTTTGTACTTACACTGTGCTGGCGTATGGGGCTTTGCCCTTGAAATAAAATCACCTTTGCTATAAAAAAGAGTTATACCTGAAGCTCTACAGGAAACTGAAAAGTATCAGGTGGTGCATGCTATATGCTATCAAGCACTTTGCCTTGCATTTCAGACCGTGGGCATAAAACAGTTTTTTTCCTAGCCTGTATGTCTGAAGAAGGATCATTGGCATTTGATATTAAGAAAGGTACAGTTATTTTTTTCCATGCTTTTAAGTGTTTTTTTTGTGCTACTTTTCTCCAAACCTTAAAATTGCATCAATTTGGATTAACCAAAAAAAAAGGCATAGAAATTTTGCTTCAGAGCTTTGCTTTGATAAGTCCCATATGGTGAAGCATTGCCCTGAACTTCTGTGGCTGTAACCTTGCCAGGTCCCTGTGGGAAGGGGATGGGTTTAGGAATTCTCTTCAGGGACAAAACTTGCCATCAGGTTCTTAACCTTTGAACCGTTCAGTGGAAATAATGTGCCTCGGTTAATCTCAGAAAGCTCTCATCATTAAGGCACTGTGGTTTGCTAAGAGCCTGGGTCTTTTGTTCTGAATTCC